ATTAAATTTGTTTCTTGACTAATTTATAATTGGTTATTATTATTATTTTGATTATTATATCTTCTATTAGATTCTATCTAATCTAATTTTACTAATCAGATCTTGCAAAATCTTGACAAGAATACTCTATTTACTAGTTGATTGAGCTTAAATCTGGTAATAAGTTTGTTTAAGAAGATCTAAATTAGCTTTTTTAATATTTTTTGCAATTTCAATTATATTTTTCATAATATCTTCAATATTTAAATTAATCTATTTTTGAATTTTAGGTTTGAGATCTTTCTTAAAAATTTGGATCTTATATTTTTTTGAATAAGTTTTTTCTGAATTTATTTTATTTTCAAGTTCTATAAATTAATTTATATATTTTTTTATAATCTCAATTTATTTTAATAATTTTAATTCATCTTATTATTATTATATCTTACAAGATAAATAAAATTTATAGATAAAGTGATAAGTAAAATTATGATCATTATAATTATTATTAATCTATTCAGTTAGTTCAAGAGTAGTACTTATAGCTTTTTAATTAAATCAAATAGTATTCAAATAAGATAATTAATATATCATTTTAGAACAAATTTATAAATATTAGTTATATTTACATAATTTTATTATGTTTATGTATTTACATTTTTGTATCAGATAATAATATTAATTATTTTGATAATTTTGATTATTTGATTATATCGAATTTGGTTATATGAACTAATTTATATACTTTATTATTTCATTTTCTTAAAAAGAAACTATAATATATATATCTATATTAATTCACTTGGTTATGAAATTCAAAATATAATGATGATCAGAATTAAATCATTGTATTTTTTTCAACACATTTTAAGTAAAGATAGATTCTAACTTTACCAAAAATTATCATCGTACGATATAATTACACATGATCACGTAGTATTGGTCACTAAAAGTTTTGAACACCATATTCCCTCTGGCGTCATGTTTCATGTAGTATGAAAAACCCGTAGAACAAATTACCCCATACTATTTTACTGCATGCTTACGTAACATTCATATACCATTTATAGTTATTCTCATGTAAAGACCGGGGCACTATAAAATCGGCACTATAACATTGTCACACGATTAGATAATATTTATCACCGCCTTCCGTTATCAATTAATTGATTATCATTTTCGTTTCTATCCTTATTTTGAAGATAAAAATTCGGTTATTAAAAGATAAAATATATTGATATCATTTGTTTTGGGAATCACACGCTTAACATTCGAATTTACACACAATGATAACGATAACAAGACAGAAAAGGCTATTTTCATTCAAAATACTGGAACTTAACTGGCTTTTATTTTCTTATCGTTATCTATTGAGACACATTGGATACACATCAAATTTTCTTATCAGCTATTCTTTTAGATAAGATGTTTGTGTAATCTCATTTATTTGGCGAATTCTATTGGCTGTAATTTTCTTAGTTTACATACATAGTCATAACATTTGACGACGTGTCCGAGTGGTTAAGGAGTGTGACTAGAAATCACATGGGCTCTGCCCGCACAGGTTCAAGTCCTGTCGTCGTCGCTTTATCAAAGCACTTTCAAGTAATTATTCAACCTACTATGCGTTCTAAACTAAGAAAAGTTTTATTATAATACTAATATTTTCTGTTCATTGAATAACAAAGGCCATTTCAGTTCTGTATAATCTGAAAACAGCTTTTATGGATGGAACTAATAACATTTCGATGTATCAAATCCTGTAAATCAGATCTGCTTCATGCATTATCAATTCTTCTATCACGTGATTATTATTGGAAAAATAATTAACGTTAAAATCAATTATTTTTAAAACTACGGTCTGTTTATGAAAGATTATACTCATGTGTGTTATTTTGCATCCACGCTATTTATATTTTGTGAACTGTTTTAATTCATATTTTCTAAAACAGTCAAATACTTGTTTTAAATGTTAATAAAAATCTTGCAAAAACGGGTTCTTTTATTAAATATGAAAATAGTTACAACTTAATATTAGCTTAGTCCCCATGTGCTTACTAATTCATACAATTCGATTCTAATTAAACATTTTTTTAAAGTTATTTAAATTCCCGAAGCGATCAAAAACAATAGTCGTAACATAAGAATATAATATTAATTGACGACGTTTTATATTATGATGCTTTTATTAATCATCTTTATTTTGACAGATCACAAAATCTTTGTTTGCAGTTAAGGGTTTATTTTTATATATATATATATATATTCTATAATTGAATATTGGAAAATTTTTTTATTTATTATATAGAGAATGATAACATTAATATATAAATATAAATATAAATATATAAGTATATAAATATATAAATATATAAATATATAGATATATGTATATATACGCCGAACAAATGTTTTACGCGCGTTTACAAGGAATGCTGAGTCATCATTGCTTGCACTGTGTCCGAAGACGTACTTTGTTTTAATATAATACATTTGATTTGTTTGTTTTCGCAGGCGGCAACAAAACAATGATGTTACCATTACATGAATACTAGCTATACCAATTGAACATTCGAAGGAGTGAAAACTAACTCGGATCCGTAAATGGATCAGATGTGATTTGATGGAATATAACTTTTTTTGATATCCGATAATCTGCAGTAGTATCCTATCATCTTTACTTACATGCATATTTTAACTTAATTCCTTATCGCTTATTTTGAAAATCAATATTATTTTTATTGTTTTCATATCGCCTCTTGTGTAATATTTAAATCTCGTTCACACTGCTATACACATGTTTCTTAGAATTTTTGACATCACTTTCGCACGATGATCAGCATTTCCATTGTTAAATACCACTATTAGAATGATTCGTATGTCGACCAATCGAAAGCGGAGGTGATATAACACAAAAAACATGATAACTATGGAAATAATGCGTAAATTAGTATAAGGCAAGTGAGATTTCTTTTGTTTCCTCGTTTGTTTCATCCATCTCGCTCCGTCGTTACGTAAAGGTCATGCATGCGTGATGAATTATTCCTCTATCTGAATCAGATGACCTTTTATTAATTAACCTAACCCACGAAAATTATTCGTAAATATTGTTATGGTAAATTGAAAAATTAAATTGCAAGCTTCATTTTTCGCGTGCCTGAATTCAAAAATATTCACACTTATCTTAATATGCACATACTTAACCACACATTATAGCATAAAAATTAATTACCTTTAATAGGTATTACCGTAATTCGCATCCTTGAGTATTCGGGCACATTTCATTCTAGGACAAAGTTAATTAGCAAAAAAAAAAGAAAGATATTAGTAAAAAAAGGGGAAGGATACACTACGGGACTTAAGGATGCGAATTACGATATCGATTAGCGACGATAAGAATCAAAGGAACATCATTTTAATATGAAAAAGTTTTGACGATTAAAATGATTTCAAGTACGAGGATAGAATCTGATAAAGAAAAAAATAAGACTTCTAATCACATTTACATGGGCACGGGGTCTCATGAACGAAAGATCGTCGAATTCAATTTACAAAATCGGTGATAAGGAAGATAACGAACATCATTTATATGATCATGGTATATTTCTTGTAATATTATGTAGTAAACTTTTCTCACAATAATCGAGTTATTTTTATCAAAAATTCTAAAGTAAAATTGTTAATTAATGAATAATAATAAACAGTACGTCCAAAAAATTGTATAGACGAAATTCTTATCGTACAATCAATACATGTTTATCGAAGAAACCGCATGACCAAAAATTTATTAAGTAGATCATATTTACTGGTCAAGCACGCGATATTTGCAAGCTTTCAGTGTAATGCATTTTTTTAATAATAAATCTAATCCAATTTCGTCCTAAAACCTATGAATAACTTCGCGTCGATAGTGATCAAAAGCTTCAGTTAAATGATTATAACACCATTGTGACAGCATGTCTTTATGTGAATTGTAGTTTGTAACGGTCTATTTTGTGAGAATGCAAGTGTCCTTCCCTCCCCCGCAATGTATGGGCTCTGAATCAGATTCTTATCATGTCTGTTTCGAGCTTATTCTTTGGCCATGATTATTTATTCTTGTGAAATATATATAACTACCAGGATAGAATAAAGGCGAAAACTCTTCGTAAGAACTGCAAATATGATTATATTATCCAAGAATAAGAAAAATTTTTTATGATTAATAATACGTATCATTAGCAATTGCCGTTATCCCATGAAAGCTATCGTTATTATGCAAATCACAACTACCAATGTTTTTCTTTTCGAGTTTGTCTGTTCTGGCTCCCAGTTTAAGGCAAAAATCAGAGTAAAGGCTCCAATAATGGCTAAGCATGATTCCTGTAAACAGGTAGGTGATTAAATATCTTAAGTGAAGGTTTATTAATCTTTTTTTTATTTATTATGCTTATTGCCATGTGTAAAATATATTTTTTTAGTAGTATACTTATGTGAATACTTTCCGTAAGTACCACTCACCCATCTATGCGAAAATATGATGTTTGGCTCTTAAATTATAAATACATAAGAATATCATATACATAATAAGAGAAAAGGTAAAAATAGTGTTTCTCAAGTTTTTACGTATGTTTGCATATGGAAAGGGGAAGAATTGAAGAAATGAAACCAAGAATCAAGAGGATAAGGAAGGGAATAAAAAAAGAAAACAATTCCACCCACCCAAAGAAAAATATCGTCATTGAATTCTTTTTTTACCCATTCTCTTTATCACAGATCACGAAAGACGATCCACTCAATTCCTGATTTTCTGTTTGTCATCTTTGCTTTATCCAACTCTCTCGCGTTCGAATAATTTTTGTATATGTACGAATAAAAAAAAAACTGATGTAATAAAAATATACAGCAAAATTAGGCGCATTATTTTGAATGAAATGATTAAGGGAAATTATGATATTAATATAAATTAATAAGTCTAGTCATTATTTTTAAATACGTAGCAAGAAAATTGTCCATAAATAGAAAATTTTGTGCCAAATCATCTATGGCTGGAGTGCAGGATGATTTGTTGTTCCAATGTTGCGCCATAAAGCTCCCAGCGAATTTGTGGGCATTTCCTCGGTCAACAACTCCGGTAAATTGTTATTATTATTATCTTGTAAAATTTCAAGAGCCACTGCAACCTGACAAGATGAGTGTCGAAGTACAGGGTGCACTGATTGAATCTCTATTGAAATTTCGAGGAAAAGGGGCAACTAAATGATGAATTAAAATTAAAAAAAAAAATGATTAAATGTACATAATTAAGATTTCAAAATCATACTGTATTTAGTTTACCTGTTGAAAGAATTCTTGCCCATCATACTCTATCCGGTCATTTATTTTATGGATAAAAAAGACGTGACCGGCACAAATATTGATTTGCACTTGAGAAATGCCATCCAAATTTAGATGTGCTAATATAATAAAAAAAGATTTATTCTGACTCAGCATCAATTTATTCGTGAATACAATCTCAATAAATGCATATGATTAAAAAAAATTATTTACCTCCTCTTAACTTGCTCATAATTTCTTGAACGATTATCTTTGACGGTTCCTGAAATATAGGAACCGGAGCATCGCTGGAATAATGTTGTAATTTCTCTTTAAGCCATTCTAGACATGTTTCATGAATCCAGATGACAATTGGATCTGTCTGACTGTTAGAGTCAGTGAACTGCAAAGAAAATTCGATTAATTATTTGCTTCTTTTACGACGACAATGCTTTGATAGTTGTTGGGTGTATTTTATTTACCTTGACAACGTTGGATCCAAAATTGAAAAAATAGGTAGCTTTAGAACCGGAGACAGTTGGTGAATAAGCCGAATTTATGTGTTTATTCGTTCTTAGCATTCTCTTATTATCTGTTTTTATGTGTAAGGAAAATATTTATTTACAAGATTGTTAAAGACAATCAAGATTTTAAGATTCGAGAATTTATGCATTTATAATATTTTTGAATGAGTATCCTCGATAGTATAAATATTATTATAATATTAAAATAACGAATATGATAATTCTAATTATTATTAAAGATAACGAAATAATAATAATAATAATAATATAATAAAAACAATGAAATCACTTTTTTATTATAAGAATCCGAAAAAGGTTAATTTGTGTATTTGTTTCGAGGAAAAGATCCAATCAAAAGTGAAAGATAAAACAAAAAATGGTAAATAAAAAAGGCATCAAAAAAGAAAAATTCGCGGGGGATATTCAACAAAGATAAGGCAAGAGCACAAATGCAGTGTTTTAGGAGCGGAAAATTGTGCCGAGTGATGATAAGAAAAAAATTAACAGAATCGGAATCAGCGGGATAAAAAGAAGCACAGACATAAACACGTGAAACACACGCTCGTGCATAATTCTAATTAGTTGCATAAAAAATGAATCTTTGTTGTATTACCTGAAATACTAATCTGTGAAAAGAGTTTTTCGATTTCTTCGCTCATATTTTTTCTAGTTTATAAAAGATGGGTCCTTAAATTATAATGTTCTAATGAACGACTATTCGTAATATCAATAATGAATGTATGTGTTTGTGTGTTCGTGTGGTGGGTGTGTGTGTGTGTGTGTGTGTGTGTGCGCGCGCGCGTGTGTATAAGCGAAGAGATTTAATATCGATCTTTTCCTCTACTTACAATTAAAAAAGAGTTGAAGGTGAAAAAAGACAAATTTTTAGAGTGGGGGAGTTAAAGTGAGTTTTCTAAAAACAGCACGAACGTTTATAAGTTTATTATTCGCGTGTTGTTATTGGTTGCTAAAGGATTGAGTATTTAATTGGTTGTCGGTTTTACTTGTATTACTTGTATTATTGCATATAATACAACACATAAACCAAAGCAAACAAGATAGGATAGTATATTAGTTGCTATTGTTGTGGTGGTTGTTGTGAAGTGATGCTATGCACGATATAACGATGAAAGTTGAAAAAATAAAAAAGTTCTTGGGACGAATACATATACCGATTTGTCCTTTACTTGGAAAAGAAAAAGATCTATTATTTATTATTGTTACCACCACAACTATGTGTCATTTTATATCGTAAAGGGGAATCAGATATATAAAGTTTAAATTATATGTACGTATTTATATATTAACTTTTTCATTTATCTGCAGCATACGTTAGTCCAAATTTTTATTATTTAATATATTTCTCACGCATTATATAATGGAATAATCGCGCGTTATTATATATTTTTTATATTGATATTGTATTGTTAAAATTATTAAAGTAACAATATAAATAAATAAAATGGTGGATAGTATAGGTTATTAAATTAGTAAATAGTGGTGATAATAATGATAATAACAAAATAATTTTAAATAATTTTTATTATTGTCGTCATTATCGCAATTAATGAGATTAATTAACATCAGATAGATATTTTCTATGAATATGAAGAAAAATGAAGACTTGATCCATTACCACATTCATTATCTGTTTTGTTTAACTATTGTCTCGTCTCGCGTGTTTGTGTCTGCGTGGCTGTCTCTTAGATTTCTCAGTTTGGAATTTCATTAAACAAAGATGTAATTAGAAATTAAATTCGTGAAAACGCGGATTGAAAAAATGAATTAATTGGATTAATTGAACCTTCTATTGTTTGCATACGTAGATCAATTCCACTCTTTCGTTCCGGTTATCACAAACTTTAGGTCAGGATTTTGAGAGAAATCGAAGGAAAAGGAAAAGAAAAATATTGTGGGGGCAACACAAGGAAATAAAATCTGCTAATCTAAAGTGTGATTCATTGATGGTGCATTTGGTGTGTGAGTATGTGTGTGTGTGTGTGTGTGTGTATTTTGTATGTTTGTATGCGATTTTCAATCCTCTCGATCACGTTTTCCTTTTTTTGCGTCCGTAAGTTTAAGAAAAGACAATGGATGTTTTTCCCTTCCCCTCTTTTTTCTGTTGTACTATCACTTCCCTTCTTTTCTGTTGTGCTATCATTCAACAACTTTTGTCTTTCGTCACTGTACTTGGGTAAATTTGGCGGTTGCCCGCACTTTTTTTATAACAAACCCCACCCCCACATTACCTTTTTCTTCGATTTTGATTTTTATTTGTATTTCTTGTTTTATTCATGTTAATCCGTGTACTTTACTGTGTTTGGATTTCCGGTTTTTGTGATCTCTTTCATGTATGATAAGAGTCATTAAACATCTAATTTACGGTTTGTGCTGCGACGCGCGGCAAGTATCGTATTTCATAATATATATATCGTCGTAGATAAGATTAGATGGTTTTGATGACTATCCCATTCATGTATCATTATTTATGTAGCAATATCTTGCATTTCATTATACAAGAGGTACGATAAAGTAAAAACGCTAGCTATATAAATCGATGGTACATGGATTTAAAAATAAAAGCCGTGCAACGTATCTAGCCAAAATCAGGCGTTTCTATTCTTTGTGGGGACTTCAGGCTGAATTTTTTTTTATTGGAAACGTCATATATATTTTTTGATGTGCACTTTTAGAAAAAACGATGAAAAAAAGCACGTATCTCATTGGGCGTAAGGTATAACGAAAAAAATAACGGGTAAAAACCTTACTATCCGAAAAAAAAAAGATCGCGCACTTAAATCAATCTGATGACTAATTATTCTGATAAGATTAGATCTGCTAACTTTTTTACATCATACCTGACCTAAACGAGGTAAGATTCCAAATAAAAACGCAACTAGGAAGTGACACCCGCAAAGAAACAACAGCACAAATGAAACCCGATATGCAAGCACATAAGCCAATCTGATTATAGAATAAAATTATCGTTTTACCACGAAATTTATCGTTTTTGGGCGATCTTTAAGCAATATGATTAAATCTTTCCCTAATAGAATAAATTAAAATTCATTTTTTGTCCCTTGCACGATTGTTGCTATTCAATGGAATTGAATTTTCGTGTGCATGTTTAATGTGTGTGTGTAAATGTTTATTGCGTGTGCATATGTATGTTATATAATGCCAATGTGTATATTGTTCTTTCGAAAAGAGATGATAAGTGGTTTCGCATATTAAAAATAGATACATGATAAATTGCACAGGAAAAACTCTAATGAATACGTGTACATTCTAAAGTTCAAGAAAAAATTTTTTTTTCCGATAAAAGATTATTATAGTCATCAGCCATTTGCTATTTTCCGAAAGATGAGTAAGTTGATTATCAATTTCAAGACATTTGCATTGTCCGTGGGCTGTATGTATAGTTCACAAAAGCTAAAAAAGAAGGATATACTCAATTCATTTCTATTCTTCGATATAAAAAAAGTTTCCTTACTCGCGTCCATTATGAGAACTGAATTAAACTCAGCGACAGTACTGCGGGCAATGAGATTAACGTCTCCTTAAAACGAGAAATTAGTGCTAAATTGAGGCAAATTGCACCTGTCAAAGCTTCCTTTGTAGACTCTTTTGATGAATTTTCATTATAAAAAGAGCACTTTACTAAATCTTCATTAAAATTGGTCGTTACTCATCAAAAAAGATCCGCATGCACAAATCTTATTACTATTATCCCGAAATTCACGAATCACTTTCACTATGGTTAAAAGACTCATAATCTGTAGTATCGATAATACGACTATCGAGCACCAACCATAAAGAATTACGTGTTGTCCCTTACCGTATCAGGAGTGAAAGTGCCAAAATGCATATATGCTTTGATAATTTAGATGCAGTCGTCATCTTACTCTAAATATTGCATTATCATTCGATAGCATATTCGATACAGTAATTTGGAAACAATGAATGAAACACCCATATTGTCATTGTTAAAACGCTTTATTATCGACTTCTAGGCGATCGGAGATCGGGATAAAGCGTCTAGGATTCCAAACTTAGAAATATGAAAACAAACCATATTTCAGATGAGTAATATTTAATGCCAGCGGCATGCCAATCATGTATATCGAGATGAATGTCTCCAATGAAAAACGGCATAAAAAAATTTTTTTGCATATAGCCTTGAAACTGTTAAGTGAAAACCGCGCCGACCAATAAGTTAGGGAACACAAGGATTAATATGACGTGTAATCTTTTATAATCGTCACAATAACAAAGATGCCAACTTTCAATCAAAATTCATTTCCTGATCGATCAATCGAATGTTAATTTTCCTGAAAGTTAGCTTTGTGCTTTTTTGGGTATCTATTCAAAGTTCGTAAATTTGATATTTATGAATTCGACAAATTTGGTAAAAAATCCCATTTCGAACAACTGTTTTCGTACAAGTTTGGTCGATCAAAAAAATCGCAGTTTTATCGTTTATGTACAAAATAACTGAATTCTATCGGAAAAATATTAGAAAATGACGTAAAAATGACATAATATTCAAGAAATATATCACGCTAATTATAGGATGATAAATATGATTTTATGATTTTATAGCATGATAAATATGATTTTATAGCATGTAAAAATAATAAGTATTTTGAGTTTTTTTTTGAATATTTTTTGCTTGAACAAAAAAATGTCTACTACCGATCATCAACAACAGCAGAAATATACACATCCTTCATATCCAAATTATGGAATTTTTTCTTCACAGCCTCCGCCATCGTATACCGGAACTGAAGAATATTCTCATGGTTTTTCGCAACCACAAACACCAATAATGCCAATGCCTATGCCTCAGATTTTTTCTGCTCATACACCACCTTCTCCGCCGTCAACAAATACTGTTGATGATTCGAAATATTTTCCAAGACCAAAATACCAAGATTTATGTAATAATAAAATCATGATATAATTGATTCTCTGATTTTAACGATAATTTTGAATTTCAATCTTCGAAAAAAATTTTGAAATTTAAGGGGCGGCAATATTATTTTTACTTCATTTCGCCGCGTATATTGTGATTTCTATAATCGCATTAGCAAACTTTGGAAAATTACAACGCAGTCCAGATAAAAATCCTGCACAAAAGGCCACGCTGAACTGGAGCATAATTTGGTTGTTATTATTTAACGCTGGTGTTGGCTTCTTTTTTAGTTTGACCTATCTCTCTATGGCAGAAAAGTATAAATAATAATTCATCTGTTATTTTTCAATGGTTATATAATGTTATAACTTTCTTATTATATTTCGATAGATTCCCAAGACAATTTATCACAGCAACGTTTATCATATCGATTGGATTTTATTGGGCAATCACTATATATTTCTTTGTAGCTGAATATCTCGGTCCTGCGATTTTATTCCTATTCTTTTCTGGTTTTTACACCTTTTTATATTTAGCTTGGTAATAGAATATAACATAGTGGTTTCAATTTACTATTATTTTTAAATTTAATGTTTTTTTTTCAATAATAGGAGACCATTAATTCCATTATCAGCTGCATTACTTGAAACTGTAGTCAGTATCACTAAAAGGTATAAAGCTACTATACTTGTGGCGTTTGGTGGGCTTTTGCTTCAGTTTTTGTATCAAGCGTGGTGGTAAGTGTTGCTTTTATTGAAGTTTGATAATTTAAGGGTGCATTTTATTGAAAGAAGCTATTTTATATAATTTTTGATTTGCAGGATATTTACAATTACAGGTAATTAAATAATACCGTCATGTCATTTTCTCTTACATTTAATCCTCATTCTAATCCGAAAAATGAAAAAATAGCTGCTTATCAATACTGGTACCCACCAGCATGCAGCAAAAATCCACAGTCCACACAATGCGACAAAAAGAAAATAAACAGCATTGCCGTCTTTCTAATATTCTCGTTTTATTGGACATCGCAAGTAATCCAAGTATTGGTGCACGTGACATTATCTGGTGTCTTTGCCGCGTACTACTTTCTTGAAGGCACTCCCCAAGGAATGCCACGCTCACCCACCCTCGAAAGTTTGAAACGAGCAACCACAACGAGTTTCGGAAGCGTGTGTTTAGGCAGTTTGATCGTTGCATTGCTTCAAACTATTCGTGCTCTATTGAGGGCAGCTGCACAGGAATCTGACAATCCGTTTGGGCAGTTTTGCGCGCTTTGTGCAGAGTGCATTGTTGCATATATCGACGCATTATTGGTAGTTTATTTATTATTTGTTTTACTCTAAGATCGTAAGATTTAATTTTTGGTTTTTTAATTTTATATTTTAGCAATTCTTTAACTTTTACGCGTATACACAAGTTGCAATTTATGGAAAGTCATATGTGCACGCTGCAAAGGTAAATAAGAAAATTAGCGCAAGAATTTTTTTTGTGTAATAGAAAAAGATGCTAAAAAGCATTTATCTAGGACACTTGGACACTTATAAAAGAACGCGGCGTAGAACTCATTGCTAACGATATCTTGGTAGGAAACGTTTTAGTAATGGGTGAGTATATATACTCCTCATAATTCCACGTTCTTAAACCCAAATTAATCCTTTCCGCATAACTTGATAGGATCAATCCTAATCGGGATGATAACCGCACTGCTTGGTTACCTATTCACCATAGTATTTCAACCAGACTTTAATCATGGCGGCACATTCACTCCACTGATTGTGTTCCTAGCATTCATTATGGGATTCCAGATGATGAATGTGCTCAGCTCTGTGATTCATAGCGGTGTTGCAACTACTTTTGTCGCGTTAGCTGAGGATCCTGCCGCGTTATATAGGACAAAACCGGCATTGTTTGAAATGGTATGTATATGTAATTTTTATTTTTTTTCCTTTCAAGTTTGATATACGAGTTCTGTCATTTACCAATAATTTTTAGATTCGTCAAGCGTATCCGAACATTGCATTATGGGAGCACTTAAGATAGTCAAAATAATGATGCATGTCGTCATGGACATGTGACAACTTACATTAGAAGATGACACATGACTTTGGAAAATAATTTTAAAATTTCCAAGCGAACCATTTGTATATAAATATATTGATATTTTTTAAAACAGACGTGCAGGAAAAGATAGAAAGAATCTAGAGATACTCAAAAAACAAGGATAAGATATATTTGTATATTATTAATAATATGCCGTGGTTATTACAGAATGCTCTTCATTCTTGTCGAAAGAGTAGTCCGCGTCTTTGTAATTTCACCATGGGGTCATTAGTTACTTTGAACAATAACACGAAAACAACAAAAGCAGCAGCAGCAGCAACAACAACAACAACAATAAACATGGACTTTAATAGAGTGGGAACACTTCCCTGTTGTTTATTATTGATTTCAAAGCATAAAACGCGAACTTTTAATTCGTTATCGGATATTGATTTGAAGGTTAATATTAACAATGATAAAAATATTGAGGATATTTTAAACTTTCCGTTGGGTATACCATTCACACAAAATATTATAAACACTGGAGAGAAGGAACAAGAAGTTGATAGTTTAGTATTACAACAGCAGCAAGAGCAAGAAAGTGAAGATGATGTAGTTCCCTTGACATTGAATGCATTTAAGAGACAAAGAAATGGTTTTGAAGCATCTCGTAATACGCCATGGACGGACAATTATATTGCTGATGAATTTGACAATGCAACTCATCTATTAAACCGGGAAGTGGCAGATTTTGTTAATTATATTTCTCCGTTGCCGGAAGAACGTAAAATGCGTCAGTCTATAATATTACGGATCAATCGACTATTGCGTGATAGATTCGATTCAAATTCGGTGGCAAGAGCTTACGGAAGCTATAACACCGACCTTTATCTACCATCAAGTGATATTGATATAGTGTTATTTTGTGATGCTAAGAACAAAAAAAAGCTTGTTGATCGAATTGCCAGTATTATTCGTGGTGATCCTAATTTGGCAACAAAGTCTAGCGTCATCAGAATACCATTTGCTCGAGTTCCAATTGTAAAATTTGTAGAAAAATCTGCGGGATATCCGGTCGATATTTCGTTTAATCAAGAGAGTAGTTTAACTTCTGCGGATGTGACAAAAAATCTCATTCAACAGCATCCTGGATCAAAAGAATTATTGTTAGTGGTGAAATATTTTTTGGCGTCGCTTTCATTGAACGATCCTTCGCAGGGTGGGATGGGCAGTTATACGGCTTTGTTATTAGTCATTTCTTTATTACAGGTAAATGGTGGTTTTATCGTGGAAAATTAAAAAGAATTTATTTAATTGATTGAAATTTTTATTGAAGAAACATCCTTTAACAAGGAAACCTAATTTCGTGGTGAAGGAAAATCTTGGCACAATGCTGATTGAGTTCTTCAAGTTATATGGGATAGAATTCGACTATAAAAAATATTCTATAAATGTCAGTAAAGGATCTTATGAGGAAAAACCAGCAAATAATAAAAGTAACAATTCAAAATTTCTCGTAATCCCAGATCCTTCTGATCCAAGCCACCTAAATGTCGCAACCGCCACTAATCAATGGATAAAAATACGCAAAGCATTTGCTTCTGCTTACGAAACCCTACAGGAAACAATCAACCACGTGGATCATCTCCTATATAAGAACAGCAATAATCCCGAGGTCGCGGTTGATTCTGCAGAGAAGCCTTTGCTGCAATATAATGTCAAAAAAGGAATAACATTACTGGGCACTATTATTTCTATTGATGAAAAATACCAAGATGCAAGAACCAATGCAGTTCAGTCGTATTTATTTAAACATGGTTGTGCACATGAATTTGATAAAACGGAAAAGGTTTCTAAAAAATCAAAGAAACGGAAACTCTTGTTAGATGATGATGATGATTATGACCTAGAAGACGATGATGATGATACGATATATTCTTCAGATGATGAGTGGTTCCGTCGTGCATTTCCACCAAATGGAAAAAGGAAACAAGCTGAATCTGCTCGCAGAATAAAAATAATTCGTAATACTCACATTGACAACAGAAATGATACTTCACAGTGGTACGATAAAAATATATTGATGGATTATAAAGTAAAAAAATATGGTATCGAACTACTGGATGACAGAGACCAATCTCGACTTTCACGAGGTCAAACAAAAAATAAAAAGCTTAGTGATGAGCTTAAAACGAAATCTAAGAAAGCAGTAATTAAGACAATACCTAAGAAACAAAAAGAACCAAGAAAACCAATTGAAAGGTTTAAATAAATTCGGTAAGGATAAGAATTTAGTTGTTGAAAGAAAAGATTTGGAAACTTATAATCAAATTATAATAAAGAAATGGTTTCCAATATTCATGTAAATGTTAAAATTTTCGGGCTTTATTTATTCAGGTTGTGACTTTACAAATATAAATAATAAACATAATTTTTTATCAATTGATCTTTGTGCATTAAGTAAACTTATTCACAGTATTGATTTATAGGTATTTGAAATCAATATTAAAATAGTAAAATATAATAAAACATAATTTATTAAATCATTTTTAAACTTTAATATTATTATTAATTTATTCTTTGTCTTTATCCTGTTTTATTTTATTATTCTTTAAATTCTTTATCTTTTTCTTATTTTTTTAATTTTCTTTATTATTTTCTTATTAATCTTTATTAATTATTAATTATTCATATAGTTATTTTTCTATTTATTTATTATAATTCTTATCTTTTAGTTGATCTTTTAAAATACAATATTAATTATCTAATTATTAATTATATTATATTTTTAATTATCTTAAATATATATTTTATTTCTTAATTTATTATTAATATTTTAAATTATATATATAGAATACTAATTTAAATAATATTATGCTAATTAAATTAATATTATACTTAATATTTTATTAATTTATCTAATATAATATAATCAGATTTCTTTATAATCACATTTTTTTATAGTTATCTTTTTTTATAATTATTTTTTTAAGTTTCTTGATTATTAATTAACTATAATTAAAAAAATCTCTTTATAATCATATTTCTTTTTAATTATTTAATTTTGCTTTTTTAAATATGATAATTATAAAAAGATTTAATATTTTATAAATTAAGTCATATAATTAATTATAAATTAGATAATATTTTATATAAATATAAATTAGTATAATATAATTTATAAGAAATTTTTATAATTAGCAGATAAAAAATAATTAAAAAAATAATCAAAAAATAATAAAATATAAAAGTTAATTGATACTTTTAAATATATTGTTACCTTTTTGGTGTGAGTTCTGAAGTGAGGGCGAGTATTAAATCTAATATTACAAAAACACGTGATAAAAGCGACCACGTGTTTAAAATAATGTTTGGGAGAGTCTTTAAAAGATTTATTAACAAGTAGGTGTCTACTATTATTTCAAAGTTAATCTAAAGGTAGGTAACGATAGTGTTCTTGTTGTAACTAGCTAAAATGTAGCCCAATTCCAATATGTAATTTCAAGACAGATGTAATGTTCAGTTTATTAACAAGACGAACTTATAGATCTTAATCAAGATCTATTCTACAAGAGAGATTCCTTAGAATTCTCTTAAAACTATAATCTACTAAAATGCGA